GGAAGTTCATGTTATTTTTTTTCTATAAGGATATCTTATGACCCTAACGTGATTTCTTGGGTGTGCCACCCTGCAGTTCAGAACGCACTGCTGTCTCTGCTGTGATTTTGCCTATTATTATTATTATTATTATTATTGCTATACTATTTAGAGATAGGGTCTTACTCTGTTGCCCAGGCTGGAGTACAATGGAGTGATCATAGCTTACTGCAGTCTCAACCTTCCTAGGCTCAAGCAATCTGGCCTTGGACTCTCAAGTAGCTGGGGCTATGGGCATATGCCACCATACTCGGCTAAGTTTTTTTGTAGATATAAGATCTTGCTATTTTGCCTAGGCTGGTCTCAAACTCCTGGCCTCAAGCAATCCTCCCACTTCAGCCTTCCAAAGTGTTGAGATTATAGGTGTGAGTCACCGCACCAGCCTGTTTCTGTACTTAATTCTGGTCTGTGGGTTTCTGTGGTGCGCAGAGCAGGCCCTACTTTCCCTGAGACGTTTGTGTTCTACTCTCCAGATGTTGGGTTTCACAGCAGCGGGGAACTGCGGTTGCCAATCCGCTGGCCCTGAGATGGGTGGTGAACCTAGAGGACTCCGAGGGCCCCATGTCATCACAGGAATCCTTACGAGTGGGAGAGGGATACAGAAGGACAGACAGAGGATGAGATGAGGCGCCGGGAGAAAGGCACAGCAAGACGCAGGGCTGCTGGCCTTGGAGGAGGAAGAAGAGGCCACAGCCAAGGAACGCAGGCCTTCTGGCGCTGCGGGGACACAGAACCTGGTTCTATCCCAGAGTCACCAGAAAGGTGTGACCCTGCTGACATCTCAGTCAACCCAGCGGGATCTTTGTTGGACTTCTGATCTACAAGACTTTTTTTTTTGAGTCCGGGTCTCACTCTGCCACTTAGGTTGAAGTGCAGTGGCACAACTACAGCTTACCACAGCCTTGACATCCTGGGCTCAGGCTATCCTCCCATCTCAGCCTCCCGAGAAGCTGGGTGCACACCGCCACACCCAGCTAACTTGCATTTTTTGTGGAGAGGATGTCTCACGACGTTGTCCAGGCTGATCTCTAACTCCTGGGCTCAAGCAGTCCTCTTGCCTCAGCCTCCCAAAGAGCTGGGATTACAGGCACGAGCTGTCACAACCAGCCTGCAGGACTGTTGAAGCAGTAAACTTTAACGCTAGTGTTTGTGTCATTGACATACCGTGCATTGTCTTTTTTTTTTCTCATAAGGTTCTTTCCAGGTTTGGGCTCAAAGTTTTGATGGCAACAGAAATAATTTGGGAAGTACAGCTTCTGTTTCTCCTCTCTAGAAGAGTATGTGCCAGTTAAGAATTGTTTGTTCCTGAATTTATGCTAGAACTCACTAGGGATGCGGTGTCCATTTGCTGGGGCCTCTGTCACAAAGCACCACCAACTGGGCAGTGTCAACAACAGAGATGAATGTCCTTAGTTTCAGAGGCTAGAAGTCCCAGCTCAAGACGTCCTTGGCTTTTAGGTGCAGTCTTCCTGTGTCTTCACATGGGTCACATGGGTGTCCTATCGTGTGTCTGTGTCCTAATATCCTCTTTTTTTTTTTTGAGTTGGAGTCTCACTGTGTCG